ATGCAGTTAGAGTGGCAATGAATCCACTCTTGGGAGACCTGAAAGACCAGGTTAGCATTCTTCATTCAGACTATCTCTCCTTTAGAAAAATAACATTTTCATGGCCCAAATATCATAAAATGCAATATACATTACTGCAACGTTGTATAACTTTATTAATTTTAAAAAATAAAAGTAAAAAAAATAAAAAACTAACATGAAACTAAGTCAAGAGAGAGGAATACTAGACAGAATAAAGAAATAGCAGAAATGCAATAAAAATATTATAGAAAAAATACACAGAAAAATGACTTCTGACTTCTACAGCAGATATAAATAAAACTTAACTTCAGCTCTTGCTATACAATTACAACATGATATTCTTTTTTATAATTCATAAATAATGCTTGTCATCAAATCCATATGCAATGATTTCATTTTATAAGTTTCTAGTGCAAATTAAGATGCTTTATTTATAAATTTTAATAGAACTTTAGGGTAAAAACTTTTTTTAAAAAAAACTGATTATTCTCAATTCCCTCTGCAGATAAAAGTTTCATCATTCTGAAACAAGGGTACTGAATTAGACGGAAGTTTCTGTGGACTTTTCTGATAGTTATTTATTTTACTTGATTCTGACATAATAACAACCATAAAAGAGTCAAAGCAATAGATCTTTGACATCACTCTTCAAAAGATTGGTAGCATAGCTCATTCTCTTAAGATGGTGATTTGCTTGGGAAGCATTTCAAAGAAGACAACATACCACAGAGATTCAGATAATTAAATGTTCTGAAGTGGTCAGTACTTCTCTGGAACAAATACAGAAGGATTAAACTTGGCTGAAATATTAGCTTGATCATTTGAGAAAAAAGAAAAATAAAATTACTTTCAGGAATTATCTTTTTCTATTATTACCTTTTCCCCTCTTCCCATTCATTTGTTTTTTAAATCCTATAAAACCATCACGAATAAAGATTTGGTTATATAAATATATAACCATAGAAGAATTTTATTTTGTATAAGCAATTTTTATTATTGTATTATACCTTTTGAAATTACAGAAACTTCAAGCACAATTAATCAAATACCATTTTCTTTATAATTATCTTTCAAAATTAAATGTTAGCTGACATAATATTTTAACATTAAATATGTTTAATGTTTAATTAAATAAGAATGTCCCCAACATCCTGAATGGCCGTGCATAAAATTGCTCTCATTTAGCTCTGATGAGTGCTGTTAATACAGGGTTCTCAAACTGCAGGATTACAATCTCCCCCCTGCCCTCCGCCTCCCATTGAACAAGTGATAGAAATCCCCTAAGTGGTTTTCAAAAGGCAACTGGACTTTCTTCGTTTTTGTTCCTTGAAAACATTTCATTTCTCATTCAAGAAGCTTCTTCAAGTTCTGGAGAATGGGGGGGGGGGTATGGAAGGATTTATATTCCTTAGCAGTTATCTGGTTATTAGCACTTTGAAGGTCAGTCATTAACTCTCTTGAGATTTGTTGAGCCCACTTGGGGGTTTATCTCTACCCTTAGGTCACCTGAATCACAGTGAAATGGGACTGCGAAAGGACTGTGTTGTAGACAGGAGATAGGTGGTGTTGTATCCCTCCCTCTCTGTTGAGGTAGGGCTATTCAATTTTAATGAAAATGGCCTCTTTGACCCCTCTTTCAAACCAGTGGTCCTCTCTGTCCAGAATATGGACTTTGCTGTCTTCAAGTGATAAAAATAAATATACTATTTACTTCTAATACTTAATTTTTTACTTCTAATATCACATGGATTCTCAAACTTTGCAGTACTAGAAATGCTCACTATAGGCTTGCGTAGCAAAACAAGTAACAAAGCTCAAGAGTAGACTATGGGAACTTTATAAAAATTGCAGCAGATTTTCCTAGGCAAGCCTGTAGTTTGGTTGTAGGGAGTAAAGGGCAAAGTAGGCTTTGACAATCACTTGGTGACTTTATTCTGATATTCTGCAAATAGTGTATATTACAGAAAAAAAATATTTGCAAAAAAACTTTCAATAACATTTTAATGCCACAGATAATTTCTGATTATAAAGCTGATATATTAGAAACCTCTTCCCATGTCCATTCATAATTCAATAATTGTTTTATCTTAGCTACCTAAAATTATCTTCACTCTACCTTCTAGGGATGTGAAAGTTACCCAGTATCACTGCATTGTTCTAGGAAATAAAACATGCAAGAGAAAAGAAAGAAAGAAAGAAAGAAAGAAAGAAAGAAAGAAAGAAAGAAAGAAAGAAAGAAAGAAAGAAAGAAAGAAAGAAGGAAGGAAGGAAGGAAGGAAGGCATCAGAATCCGCACATTCACTGAAGCAGTTAAAAGTATAATACATTACTATTTAAATAGCCCTTCTTCCCAATCAGCTACAAGAAATTCATCTAAATGCAACTACTAAGTAAACATGCAATAGCTTCTGACAGGGGCATACCTCACCATATTAGGTAGTCAATATCCCAGAAAACAGAAAGGAGAACATAAGCCTAATAAAGTCATTGCTCTTAAGAGCAACGAAGTTTCTGATAATAAAGCAAAGAAATGAGAAACAGATACCACACAGATCAGCAGAAATAGCCCTGTGATTGAGAATTAGAAGGATTTGAGCAGGGCTCTTTAGCAAAAATGGAAGTGTAATTTTCTTTCTCCAAGGAAAGAACAACACTGCATACCATTTACGCAATTCTCTTTTGACGTAGGTTATGTATGCAGAATGTGGAAAAAGAATAAGAAATAGTAAGTTAAATAAATTAAAAGTATCAAATAAGAAAAGGACAACAATACACAGCTAAAACTAGTTTATACAAATAGCAAATATTCTACTTCTCCATCTTTGCAAACTTTGCTTTGCTTTCCATCTTTCTTCACAATGTCTACATATCACTGCATACACTGGTTTTCCATTCTAAACTACTCTGCATATTCCATTTATTCTTGTACATGTTTAATTCAATCAAATACTGCTCTTATAACATTTGGTAACTCAATTTCAAGTCCATTGTACTCCTGCCACATGCAGAATTTTCTGTTAATAGTTAAGGACATACAGATTTGGTAAGCCAAAAGTGCAATAAAGGTCTGGTTTTGCCCTATACCCTAATCATGATACTCTATGCAAACTATGATCTCTAAGTTAGATACAACCTTGCAAGTTAATATATTGTTACCTACAAATCAGAACACAAATATATGCAGCACACCAACATTTGCTCAGGATGCAAAACAATTACAATGGACATTCCTCCTTAAATCAAAACTCCCTCAGAAATAAATAACAAATGCAATAGGAGATTCCCACTTTCACATACTCACTGATAAAGACTATTTCATATAACTAGTTCCCAACATTGTGTAACCTAACCTAATGCTCATTGCAATTAGCCTGCCTACTGTGAATGAATGTTCTACTGTATAATACTCACAGATATGTTTTTCTATGCTCCTGAATCAAACACATTTTCCATTGTTTTAGTGCTCTGGATATTAGTAGTTTCAGGTAGTAATTCAATATCTCAAACACTACTGGATTTATGCTCACTATTTCAAAAATTAGATATGCTAGCCATGACTAAATGATTTTCTTTACAGACAGTTACCATAAAGAGAAAAAAAATCTGGAATAGAATAAAGCATTATTAAAAATAATAAAGACCATTGCAACTTACAGATAAATCACATTCAGAAAGCTAAGAGTAAAGTGTGCTTCTTCTGCATTTATAGTATGAGTTTGAAATATTTCTATATTTAATATAAATTTTCAAAATTTCATATTTGATTAAAATTATTCTGAATTCTCTCAGAGTTTATGTCTAATATAAAAATACAAAAGAACTGAATAAAAAGTTCAAGTTCAATCTGTTCTTAAAAACCTGCAATGTTGGAGCATTCACAACCTCTGGAGGCAAGTAATTCCACTTTTTAATTGTTCTGTCAGGAAATTTCTCCTTAGTTCTAGGTGTGTCTTTCTTTGATTAGTTTCGATCCATTAATATTGTCAGTTTTTTTCCCATGGTCTACAAAAAAAGAGTAATTTACTATCCTATTACTCAAATGTTTTGTGTGTTAACAGTAGCCTGTTTTCAGTTTTTCTCTTTACTATATTGATCATTGGTATTATATATCTTTTAAGCAGACTCTTCTAACTGGCCTATGAGTCATTACATATAAAGATATTATACTGTCATGCAGTAAATCAGATTTGACTAAAAAAAGCTGAAAAAGCCAACTGAAAAAAAGAACCAAAGTTTTACCTAATTTCTGAGTGGTCTAACTGTTCCACATTGTTAATCAACTTGGATAAAATTTTATAGAAGTAAAAAATCTGATGTAAATTGTTTTCTCACTTTATGTTGTAGAAAGCATCCAAAAACCTACCACATATTGGTCTAGAGATTATTGGTCAAGATTATTTGATATTTTTCTTAGTTCAGCTATCATTTCACAGGATGAAAAATGAAAAACTACCTTATTTTCTATACTTTGGATTTCTTAATAATTTATATAGAAAATGTTTTTTATATTCTACTCCTGTTGTTTTGCCACTTCTGGTTTTGGCAAAAGCATAAATCTGATTTATGGCTTGGCCATTCAAATTATATCATAAATCAGTTCATCCATAAGTGGCTGAGCAAAATATAAAACAGGTTGTATTTGTTTTCATAAGCAGTGAAGTCTTGTTCCAAAGATTCTGCCTTGCTTTTATGTTCTCAGCAACTCCATCTATAGCCTGTCTTTTATTATTACATATCAAGCTAGTAAGCTATAGTTTAGAGAAATACAAATAAAAATACTGATTATCATCATTATTATAGAAGGGTAAGAAGAGAATACCTATTACAAGGGAGAAAAAAATAGTCCAAAATGTACTGGAAATGATTTAAAATCAAATTGTTTCTTTTACAATGTAAATGAGTTGAAAAAGCAGTCTTGGAACCAAAATTTGACATGAAACAGCTCATGAACAAATATCTATCTATGTCTCTTTTCTTACCTTGTCCTCCATTACTTCTTCAGTACCATCTATTTCTTCATCCTACAAAATAAACATACAAACGTTTGAAATAAATGACAGTTTTCTTTCTTTCTAACATGTTTCTATTTCTCCACACTGTGAGTTGTATGACTGTGATTTCTGAGACTTGTTAGTAGTTACTGATGTGCAACAGCATGTTAAGAAGTTCATGGGCTTCTAAACCAGCTAGAGAAATTTCAAAATTGATCTTGAGTTTCAGTAACTTTCCAAAGGTGTCCTGGAGATTGCAAAGAATCTGAGCATTACACCCAGTAGTTCAGCTAAGGAACTATGATTTAACTACTGTATATTCTAGATAAGATGATGGGCAAAACAGTGCAAATACATGACTGCAACGAACATTTAAAAGTTTGACAGACTAATTTGCAGCGAAATACTATTGAAGCTCTTGTGAATCAATTAATTACTTAAGCATGCATTCAACAATACTACATTATTATTTTAATTAGGGTTGTACACAGTAAGCTATTGTTTGCATTTTATTGTTTTTTAATCAATGTTATTCCTACCTTTAGAATAATTTGACTTTTTAAACAGTATGACAATTATAGTTTCGCTTATATACACTGAAGGTCTTTTGTTTTCATTTTAGAATTACATAATGCCCTATGTCCTTAACAATTAGATAGGGTATAGGTCTATTCCTCTATCCCAGGGGTAGACAACCTCGGCTCTTTTATGACTCATGGACTTCAACTCCCAGAATTCCTGAGTCAGCTATGCTGACTCAGGAATTCTGGGAGTTGAAGTCCATGACTCATAAAAGAGCCGAGGTTGCCTATCCCTGCTCTATCCATCCCAGTGGATCAGAATTTAATCTTTCATTCTTTGGTTTCACTTATGAATGACAATACCTACATCCTTTGTAAAGAAAGAGATTCCAGTGCCTCTCCGTCTTTCTTTTGGTCGCCTTCTCTCTCTTACTGACTGCTTGTTTGAAGTTCTGTCATCCAGGTCCTGATCTTCATATTCTTTTAAAAGAAACATAGCTTTAGCTAAAAATAGTAATTTATTCAACCGTGGGACCATTTTCTAAATAAGGCAAGATAGTATTCATACAGAGGGATTTTCTTCAGCCTTATCATCTACCAATCTATACCAATCTATATCTAAATGTTTAACACCAAACCAGTGGGTCTATCTAGTAGAGGTAGTCCTCAGTTAATAACCATTTGTTCAGCGACTGTGATTTGCATCTTTTCCTGCTGGCTTCCCAGAAGCAAAGTCAATGGGGATGCTGACAGGAAGATTGCCAGTGGCTTGGGTAAGTTTCTCCCAGCCATGCACATTTCACTGTGCTTGTGCCATACTCCCTTGGTCACTTATGCACACTTGCATACTTTCTCCCATCTGGCAACAGCCACTCCAAGCCCTAACGTACTAGTGCCGCATCTCTCCACCACTTATGCACTCTTTGTTCCCTGCCCCACCTGACTGTCACTTACCTGCCTGCTGGCCTGCTTGCAAGCCTCTCGGGACTTGCAACTTCCTGCTGGCTCCCCCACCGACTTTGGTTGTTGGAAGGCAGCAGGTAGTTGCAAGGATATACTTGATGAGTGACCAACAGCAATGGGTCCTGCAGGGGTTGCTAAGCAATGTGATTACATGGCATTAAGCTTTATGACTGCATGGCTTAGCAATAGAAATTCTGGCCAAGTTGCCATCATAACTCAAAACCTATAATGGATTCAAATATTTTCCAAAGCGCCTGGAGGCAGGACAAGAAGCAACAGGTGGAAACTAATCAAGGAGAGAAGCAACCTAGAACTAAGGAGAAACTTCCTGACAGTGAGAACAATTAACCAGTGGAACAACCTGCCTCCAGAAGCGGTGAATGCTCCAATACTGGAAGTTTTTAAGAAGATACTTTTATGTCATTTGTCCAAAATGGTATAGGGTTTCCTGCCTGAGCAGGGGGTTGGACTAGATGACCTTCAAGGTCCCTTCCAACTTTACTATTATTATTATTATTGCAAGAGATTACTGATTCAAAAAGAGAAAGGGAGAATTACTATTCTTCCCAAAGAAAAGGTACAAGATTGGCCCCAAATAATTGTAATAAAACTACTTGAAGAAAGGTATCCTCCCTCTCTCTCTCTCTCTCTCTCTCTCTCTCTGAGTGTATGTGTTTGTGTGTGAGTGTGTATGTGTATGTGTATGTGATGCTGACGGGCTGATATATTTAATATATCTTTCATATAGACACAGATTCAAATAGTTATAAAATATAGCAATATAATAAGTAAATACCATTTTTCTCCATGTTGCCAGCTGATGTGCTTTGGTAATCTGCTGAGCTCAATGAATCAGAAGATACAAATCTATTTGTCCTGGGCATGTGAGAACTTGAATAAAGACTGGAAGTTAAGGAAGGAGAGACAGCAGTTGTAGGTTTGTCTTGTTGTGCCAGGTATCTTAATCGACGACTGGAAGACTGGAAGAAAAACACAGGCAATAGCAATTGGTACAAAGGTAATGAACAAAGGCTACACACTCAGATTATATCCCTTTAGCAGAGTTGACTATATATGTACACAAAATAGTACTCATTATATTCTTACCATTATGTATATAAAAACCAAGCGTAAGAGCACAGTGTGAGCTATAACTAGGTGAAAAAAGAGAATATATATATAGTCACTCATGTTTGGGTCAACGGATGATTGAACAAATGTAATGTGTAATGGGGCTCTCACTTCTAAAGCCCTTATGTGGGCCTAATTATTTGTCTGCTCTGGTTTCTGACTGTCCTGTAAGATTTGACAATTGGTTCTTTCTGGATCCCATTAACTAGGAGCCAAGGAAGCAGGGCTTCACTGCCATGGCATCTTCCCTCTGAAATAACATCCCCCCCCAAATTTCCATGATCCCCACCCAACTGGCCTTTCAAAGAGCACTGAAAACATGGCTCTTCCCCCCAGGTCTTGGGTTAAGGGTACACAGAGCTTTTTTCTGTTTTAATCTCTGCTGACTTTACCTTTCAGAATTGATTGGTGTTCCCTTTTAATGACACTAATTTTGCGTGCTATCTTTTTATTTTATTGTTTGTATATATTAAGCAGCTCAGCATCATTGGAGTTTAGGTGACCTAGAAATTTGATTAATAAAATAACAAAAACAAAACCCAGAACTTTTTGGACCAAGATCGATCACCTCTACCCACTATAAACATTATATTTTTTATAGTTATGATCAACATGTACCTGCATCCCAGTCCTATTGATGATTTCAAAATGATTTAGATTGCAAATAATGCAACTAACCAATCTTAATTTTTCTCAGGACTCTGAACAGAATATATTTCAAATAAAAGAAAGCTTCATTTTATATATATTAGAAAAATAAATATTAGCAGTTATTTTCAAATATCTAGTTCTTTTTTTGTTGGGGGCATATAGTCATCAAATAGATATGGATATGAGTCTTTGCTGTTGGCAGCTGATCAGGAATGATATTCTGGAAGTATAGTGAAGTACATTAACCCAGTATACAGGTTGAAAAAGGCAGATTCTCTGCTGTACTTTCCATTTAATAAGAATTGAAAATAAAGTTGACAATATTATAGTTCTATTTATGATGCTATGGCTAAACATGGAATAAATGTTGTATATAAAGGATACATTATCTAACTAATTCAGACTTCAGCTTCTCTGAGCCCAGGCCAGCATGGCCAATAACAAGGAATAGGGGAAGAGTGGTCCCAAGCAACTAGACAGCAGCAGGTCGCTTGTATCTACTCTTCACAATTCAGGTTTCTCAATCTCAAAATGCATACATGAAAATAATTCCTCCTCTGAGTAAAAATGAAAAACTGAAGGCAGAAATGTATAAAATTACTTGTTATATAAATAAAATTGTTAACTATAAGATTTTTATACTCAAAAAGCAGTAATAGGCCTAAACTGACTTTAAAAGGGGATTAGATACATTCTTGGAAGCAAATACTAATAGTTTTGATGGTTATATATCAATTCTAGTATCAGAGCTGATTTGATATAATACAAGTAAGAGGGTACTATTATACCCATTCTCTACTTCTGGGTTTCCCATAAGCACCTGGCTGACTTTTCTCTGATCTGGAAGAACTCTTAAATTATAATTATTATTGTTCACATCTTCCACAGAAGCTATTTAATGACATTTAAAAGCCACTTATCAAGTTATGACATCTGGCCCTGCCCTTGAAATAAAATGTCAACACTACTAACACAGATTTGTTCCAACAAGTTATATTTGGATAGATCATAGAGTCATTGTCATTGCTGTGACAATGGATGTCCACGCTCTGACAACTGAGAATCAGCAGCCATTTTACTTTTGTTTTTAATGTGCCTTTTCTGTTCTTTTAGAGTTCAGATGTAGATGGGGGATGGGGTAAATGCTTGAGGGTTTAGCTAGCCATAACAATGCAGAAGTGTGGGAACTCAAGGACATTGTCTGATAAGCTTTTGGCGGGCTGAGGAGCTGGAGAGAAAAGCCCGTGTTTTGTGCTAATTGGGGGATGTGATTTATGACAGCTTTTGTGGGGTGGGAACTAATAATAATAATAATAATAATAATAATAATAATAATAATAATAATAATAATAATAAAATAAAAAAAAAGTTGGAAGGGACCTTGGAGGTCATCTAGTCCAACCCCCTCCTCAGGCAGGAAACCCTATACCATTTCGGACAAATGGCTGTCCAGTCTCTTCTTAAAAACTTCCAGTGTTGGAGCATTCACCGCTTCTGGAGGCATATTGTTCCACTGGTTAATTGTTCTAACTGTCAGGAAGTTTCTCCTTAGCTCTAGGTTGCAACTTGTTACTTTGTATCTGGGGGAGGGAATCTCAGTTTTGGGTTCAACTATGTAAGTGCCGATATTTTGTTTCCTAATAAAATGTTCTTTAAGGAAGAACTATTGCCTTGAAGTTCTTTTACTAGTTTCATCTATCGGAACCATGACAGTCATTCTGAATACCGTGTTTCCCCAAAAGTTAGACCCAGCCCGATAGTAAGCCCTAGCTTGATTTTTGGGGGTGGGCTAATAGAAGCCCTACTCCAAAACTACGCCCTAGTTTTGGGGGAAGGTGCACTCCTAAAGATCAAGCTAAGGCAGGGGTAGGAGGGTTGAAGCTGCCCCACGCACCCCTCATCCACTTACCTTACTGGTAGGACCACCACAGCCAGGCCTCCCACACCTCGATACCTGTCGCGTCGCTGCTTGACTTCTGTGGCCACTTGCCGCCACTTGTGGCCAGCCATGTGGCGCAATGTGCCATTGCTGCTCCTCCTGGCAGGACGCTGCATGGCACTTTGGGCCACTTCTGTTGCTCGCAGCAGGAGGCCATGTGGCGCTTCAGGTGATTTCTGCTGTGGAAACGGCCCAAAGAGCCATGCATCATCCTGCCGCAAGTAGCAGAAATGGCGCAAAGTACCATGTGGTGTCCTGCCAGGAGGAGCAGCAACAGCGCAATGCGCCACATGGCATCCAGCCACAAGTGGCGGCAAGCAGCTGCAGAAGAAGTCAAGCAGTGGCGCGACCGGTGTCAGAGTGTGGTAGGTCTGGCTGTGGTGGACCTAAGGTAAGACATTCTCCGAAATTAAGACCTAGTGCCTCTTTTGGAGGCAAAAAAAATATAAAACCGGGTCTTAATTTCGGTGAAACATGGTACCAGTATAATCAAATCTGCTGATTAAGTGGTATATTTCTTCACAAAGATCCATTGCTATGGTATAAAAATAAAGAAAAACATTACAGAAATGAAAAGCTATTTCTTTTAATAACCATCTTGTAAAAAAAATGAGATACAAATTAAATAATACTTTTTCCTTCAAACATAATTCAAATCTGTTACTCAATAATTTTGAAGAAAAAAAGGGTTTATGTACGGCTTCACTTACCTCTTCATCTACGTTTCTAGTCCATGGTGAGTTGAACTCCCTAGATTCTGTTCTGGCAATATCTTCTTGTTTTCCACAGCTTCCGTCACTAGTTCTGAGCCTGTCTGATCTTTCACTTGGCTGTTCCTGATTAAACCGCTCTGCTCGAGACCGGCTAAAAGTTTTCTCTGCCTCTTGCAGGTCTGTAAGTGTTATACCCTGAGAAATAAGACAGTCTTTTTTAATGCGGTGTCTCTTTACAGCAGGGGTACCCATTCCTTGGGCCACAGCTGAAGGTGAATGATGGTTGAGTGAACAAAACCGAAACCAGGTCCAAGGAATTTTTTTTCCACAAAACCAGTCCCTGGAGCTAAAAGATTTGGGGATCACTGCTTTACAGTCAATAAAAATCCCATCATAAATTATCTTTCCCACAGTGAATAAGCTTGGTAAAGTTCTAATCAGGGCATAGTCAGTCAGATCAAGTAAAGTTGGGAATTGCTACTTCAAAGTATGCTAACTTAATTATCTATTAAATATAGCATTTCCAAATATTCAATATGAAGTAAAGGCAATAAACATTTCTTCTCTGATGAAAAATAATTAGCTTTTTAAAAATAACAATTTAACTATCATTTATAACTTGTTAATAATATTCTTCCTTGAAAATAGATATAAACTTTGAAAAATAATATAAACTTATTTAAAGCAGGCCTTTTAATGACCAAAAGATGTGTAAGAATTTTTTTCCATTCTGAAGTGGATTAAGAAAAAAACTACACAAGACAAATTAAATAATTTAGAGATCACATTACCTTCTTCTATAGAAATTAATATTTCTCACCTGGGTAGATCTGCGAGTCTGACGAGCTTGCCTAGATCGAGCTTTCCTTAGAGATTCTGCTTCTTCATCTCTTACAGGTGTCAGATATGACCTATATTATAATAAAAAAGAACAATTCTTTAAACAGAAAAATAGCTTATGCCAATAAAAAAATTCTGCTTATTCAAACAGTCGAGGTTTTCATCTGCTGCAGGGTATGAAGAGGGACCTTACATTAACAATAAAACATGAAAGCAATTAAATTATTGAGTTGGGGTTAGGGTTAGGGTTAGCCTTAACCACTACAGCTTTCTTAAAATGGATACATTTAAGAATACATTGGCAATATATAATTTTGATTCACCTTGAATTATATTAAATTGCAATATTATACATAGGTTATGTTTTAGCTATAGATGGGGGAGAAAATTCAATAAAAACCACTTGGGCAACTCTAATTTGAATTTCAAGTGTTATTTAGCAAAAACATAAATTGGAAACTATATATTGGCATTTCCTCCCATTTGTGTTTTGCTTCCTTTTATGGTAGGTACAGTACATTTGAATTTGAATACAGGGTGCAGTATTCCTGTAATGGCATATTTTGGGATATTTGGCTATGTAAAGATCATATGTGACAAGGGCTTGAATCCTAGGTCTAAATTCTCCTTGTTCAACTTTCTTTCCTGTTTTTTAAACATAATTATATCTTTTCACTACTACTAGAAAAATAGTGTAGAAATTATTGTATTCTGTTTCCACAGTGTCTTGCACTTTATTTTTTTTTAATAAATATCTACATCCAAGTTTTCAAAAAGACTAACACCTTCTCTTTCAGCGCATCCACCAAAATAAAGGTTAGTCATGACACAGAACCTGAGATATTGAAAAAAATGTAATAATTGCTGAGATCAGCTATGCTGATTGGAGCTCATGGAAAAAGTATATAGGTAGTCCTCAACATACGACCACAATTGAGCCCAAAATTTCTGTTGCTAAGCGAGACAGTTATTAAGTGAGGTTTGCTCCATTTTATGACCTTTCTTGCCACAATTGTTAAGCGAATCACTGCAGTTGTTAAACTAGTAACATGACTATTAAGTAAATCTGGTTTCTCCATTGATTTTGTTTCTCAGAAAGTTGCAAAAGTTGATCACATGGCCTCAGGACACTGCAACTGTCATAAATATGAACCAGCTGCCAAGCATCCAAATTTTGATCACATGACCATGGGATGCTGCAATGGTTGTAAGTGTGAAAACAGTCGTAAGTCACTCTTTTCAGTACTGTTGTAACTCTTAACAGTCACTAAATGAATGGTTGTAAGTCAAGGACTATCTGTAATATTATCTTCTGTGTAAATTAATGCTCTGAATTTATCTGATCCTCTTTGAAAACTATCAATGTTGGTGCCCATGATTACATTTAGTTGTAGTAAATTTTAGTTTAACTATGTCCTTTGTAAAGTAGGATTTCTTTTTGCCTATCTATAATCACCAATTTTGATCTTCTGAAACAATGAATGATCCCAGATTCTAATACTGTGAAAGAGAAAGAAAAAACATATTTACTTTTGTCATGTCCTTCCTAACTCAACTGTTTTGATAAGTGTATATCCCATGTTTCTTCCACAAATATAATTTTGTAAAGTAAACTTGACTCAAAGGCACCATTTGTCCCAAATCACTAGTGAGTATCTGTGGTTGAGTGAGGACCTAAACCCTAGTTTAAGGAGAAGGTATAATGAACACTCTTGTGCCCAGGTTCCTAAAGGAAAAGTAGCATAGAAGTCAAACAAATAATGGCTGAATAAGATTTAATTAACACTGTATAGTATTGTCATCTATATTATGATTTTGAAAATTGTGAAGTACTTTAGTGTCAGGCAGATTATTTTAGTTGTATTTATCTGAAATGATGGGATATATTTTCAAAGTAAACAAAAGGAACAACATAATTCAAGAAGCATCATTCAAAACTCAAAAAACTGAAGTGGAAAATAGTATCTCATTCTCATTGTATGAAATATGACATGTGATAAATAATATCTAGCTGATTTGTGGTTTAGACATCTGATTCTTTAAGTAGAAATTAGCAGATAATTTTAAAAGTTAGAAAGTATTCCATTTGAGATTAAAAAGACAGCAAGACATCTACTGCCATCTTGTGGAATGAAAAAATCTAGAGAGATGAATATCTTTACAAGGGAAAAAGACAGGCAATTGTTTGCCTGAATTACAAAAGACTTGTAAGATTATACTTCCCTCTACTTTAAATATCCGGATGTATGTCCAATAACCATTTAAATGTTAACTTTTACTACTAAAATGATTGCTTGAAGGAAAATAGTTAAAACTTTAGCCAAACTACTCGGTTCACAAGTCTGCTCATAGTTCCAACACAAAGTAGATAAATAATTAACTATTATTTTCTGAGCATAAAGACCTAAAAAGAATGTTGTTAGTTAAATATCCTGGTCAAATTAAGCAAGCATGCGAAATCAATTTAATTAAAAATTTAAAAAACAGCACAATAGACAATACATAAATAAAAAAAAGGTATTTTAACCATTTTGTTGGGAGGAAACAGCAATTTTAGAATAACATTTTAGGATATCATTAACATAACCACATTTCTCTTCACATACTTTGTAATGATTGTAAGTATATAAGTTTATATATTTGTATTTATAAGTTATAAATACAGGTAAATACGTTACTTGCTGCTCTATTATTTTATCTGCCTAATTTCCCTTCACCTTCACTTTTTAAAATTAAGTTTAAAGATCACCAAGAATGCCCACCTTGAACCTTTACAGACAGACTGCCCAGGAGCTGAAATTCTTGCATGGACCACCGCATAGGAAATCAGGAATTCAATAATAACATACAAGTCCTGACCTCTTCAACAACAACAAAAAAATGCAGCTTGCTGTCTGATAAAGCAACAGTAAACTTTTCTCTTCCGAACATGGAAGTAATAGGAAGTCTGAAATAGCAGACAGAATTCTTCCCTATCCTACATTATCATCAGCACTGGCAGCTTGCTTTCTAAGAGGACAAACTTATCGCAAAGCAATTAACAATGAAAGCAGGACTGATAAGCACTTTCAACAGTAGGTGTTGGATGACTGCAAGCTTCTTTAAGCCTTAGTCCTTTGCCGTCCAACCCCAATACAGCATGAACGGACAGATTACTTTTAGTTCTCTACAGACTAAATTCATACAGAACATTTAACCAGGTTAAGGATGCAGTGAGTACACAAAGTACAAGGTTAGAATAGTTTTAAATCTGGCTAGTTCTTCTAGGCCTAAGCATAATTATGCAAACATAGCCTGTTTCGTTAATTTATAGTTTTATTTATTGTGCAATTCAGATTCAGTTAATTTAAGAAGACCCAAGTTAAAGAATCAGTCACATCTTAAAAGGACAATTCTGGAAACCTTTATTTTAAAGAAAATATTACTGAGTGCTATACACTATACAAAAACTTGTACACTAAAAATATCTGATTCTATAACTTACAGAGTAGAAAACCAAACTTTCAATCCAAACCTTCAAGCCAAATTTAACCAACAAAATCCCTCTGTCCTCTGAAATGTTTCCTGAAGCCTCTCCTTGGCCTGCTTTCTTTTTTCTCCTGATACTTGCAACTTTAAATACTTCAAATAAGCAAACAATATCCCAATCAAGGAACTGCCAAACATGGTAACAGTAAACAACAACCCAATCAAGGAAACACCAAGACCACTCCCACCAACAGTGACAAAACAAGCCACTAGTATAAATGAGAGCAAACCCCACTGCCTACGAGCACTGATGATGTTACCTAGTTTGATAATGAAACATCTGCAAGAAAACATCCAAGGACCACACACTTCAAATAAATGGCATCACATTAAAGCAATATTTACTGTTTGTTTTTCCAAAAGTAGTATAAAGAAGCCTCTCAACATTTGTTTTGCTGATACTATACTCTGGAAAGAAGATATAGACAGAGCCAAAAGTATTTGTACCTTCCACTTTTTCCCAAACAATCCCTATTTGCCATAAAATAAGTTGCAACTGATACAAGTAAATGGCCAACACTGTTCTTTATTCCATAGTACATTGAGCAGGAACTTTACTTTTGATATAGGGCCTTAATATATTCTTGTAAATAATAAAACAAGTGAAAATAGCACGGACATAATTTTGGTACTTATAATAATTACTTATAATTGGTGCTTACCATTTACAAAAGTATGTTAAGTCATAGATCAAAAACAAAGTATTTTCTATGGACTATGGAAGAATGGATGGTGGATGCCAAACGTTGGCCACATTGGTAGCTTAGCTTCTCATCTATCATAGTTTTCATAGAGAAGGGACAGATATAAGTTGTCAAAAACAAAGAAATCTTAAAAACAATATTTTTTTTAAAAAATGAGATGGCAAGTAGACATTGAAGAGGTTGTGGGAAAGAGTAAAGGGGGAATCTAGCTATTAGTAAAGTTGTTATCATAGCTTATGTGAATTGAAAGAGAGACTATTGGAAATGGAATGTTGTTCTGTTGGTTTCTATCCAGTGTAAGGCTAGCTGGGGAATCTAAAATGAAGTGAACAGTTGACTCTAATGAGGAGTTATGGGATGCAGAATGAGACTTGGAGAAGACTAAGTTAAGTGTTTGAAGGTACAATCCAAAATAAAAAGAACATTGAAAAGAAAAAGCACCATAGGAAAGTTTTTTCAAAAGCCATGGGCCACAAATTAGATAGAATAACAGAAAATCAAAGGCTTGCTTCTCTGAAGATCATTAGCCAAAGTGAGGTTGCCTGTCAGGTCTACAGACTATGAAGGATGGTATTTTGCCTATTCATTTGATAAGCCCTTTCCTTAAACATATATGGAAAAATAGGATTAGTCCTAATATCTAATGATATAAAGGAGTGTTTATATGTTAGGAAAACAATGTTATGATTGTATAAGGAAAGATATGGCAAAAACTATTTTGCCATGTTGTACTTACTAGAAAAGGGGGCAAACTGCCCCCACAAAAAATGTACTATTTCTGTAAATTCCACAAAAAGGAACAAAAACTCGAACCTGTGTGATCCTGTTTGTTTCAATCAGATACCGGAACATAACCTATCACAGCCATCTGAATATATACTGTAATTCCATACTAGCAGGAGCCGTGGTGGCGCAGAAGAATGCAGTATTGCAGGCTGACTCTGCCCATAGCCAGGAGTTCGATCCTGACTGGCTCAAGGTTGACTCAGCCTTCCATCCTTCCAAGGTCAGTAAAATGATGGCCCAGATTGTTACGGGCAATATGCTGATGTTGTAAACTGCTCAGAGAGTACTGTGTAAAGCACTGTGGAGCAGTATATAAGTCTAAGTGCTATTGTTATTCATTCTTTTATTAATAAGGTGTATTCTGTACTAGGCAGCTAAATGTCTCCGAGCTTTTGGGAAAATAGTCAGCTTGATGAAATAATTTAAGGAAGTCTACCAGAGCTTACCACAGTTATCTGGAAAGAGATCACACATCATACCAGTTCACAAGAAAACTGTTAGGAAAAGGCTCTGTCTTAACAAAGCTGAAAAGTAAATTGGATTCTAAAAAGAAAGTAACCCAGTTACTGATATATGTGGCAATCTTATCTTACCAAAGATAAAGTTACCTCTTCAACTGATTTTGTTAAAGAAGAACAAGAACAGTATTAAAGAGGATTCTTTTCCTTTATGTCACCTATCAAAAGCCTAGCAAGTATTATAATAGGAACAATCAAGATTTATTTGCTATTAATATATTAATCTGGAATGAAATGCTTAGGAACAACACAGTGGAGCTCAAGCTCTGTTTCCATCAGGCATTTCTGATCTATTAATAGAGTTATATAGCAGCCACTTCAAATTGATACTGTCCAATATTGTTTATCTACTAAAATCTATGCAGTGCAATCTACTTTTGCTGATATTTATGCACAAAGCACTGTCCCTATGGTTCTCCTTTCTAGATATTACTGGAACAGTTTAAGATTGGATTACATCAAACATGCTATCAGCAAAGTATGAATCAGAACTGTAGAGGAGCTTGTACATAAAACCTGCAGATAGGGAACTGAACAAAGAATTGCACTTTCCAGATAACTTTCAGCACCATAAAGATATGAGAGTGAATCAAGAAATTAGAGCATTTAAATCAGTGGAACAGCACACTTTTGAAAGGAAGGACATTTCAGAGTGCTTACTTGTTCCTCCATAAAGTTAGCAATGCATTTAAATTTTAATCCAGTGACTTCAAATAGACAAGCAGCCTGTTATGGAGGCATCTTAATGATCTAATATTAGTCTGGGAGTTTATGTTGTTGTTGCTAAGAGAAAGCTGTAGCTTTGGGAACATTGAGTTAGATAAATGTACTATTGTGACAGCTGCCACTAAATGCTGTCATCCCAAACTATAATACCTGGAAATATCTATCATTTTTCATGTTAATCTTCTATTAAAAAACTTCTTTAAAAATCTAGTGATCTATCTTTCTCAGTACCTATTTTCAATCTGCGAATTGCTCCTTGTTTAAGTTTCATATACTTTTAACTAATTTGAATATTCAACAAAGCCTAATCAACAAGATCCTAAAGGAAATCAACCCTGACTGTCCTTTGGAAGGACAGATACTGAAAGTCAAATACTCTGGCTACCAAATGAAAAGAGAGGACTCCTTGGAAAAGACCCTGATGTTGGGAAAGATTGAAGGCAAAAGGAGAAGGAGACAGCAGAAGATAAAATGGTTGGATAGTGTCATCAACGCAGTGGCATGAGTTTGGGTAGATTCAGGGAGACAGTGAAGGACAAAGGGGAGCTGGCGGGCTATGGTTCATGGGGTTATGAAGAGTCAGATATGACTTAGCGACAGAACAACAACAAAATCAACAAGAAAATGAAACAATTGGCAATTCCAAATTCAAAAGTAACTCTCATTTTCTACCATGATCCATAAAATAATATCCAAGGGTCATTAAGTTAGTTAACAAAAAAATTATGTTTTGAAGCATTCCCTTTTAAAGAAATGGTAATTACAAAATGTGTGAGAAGAACTAAATTATATTCCAGAAATCTTAGATCAGATAGCACTGCAATTTATTTGCTTGAACTTACAATCAAAGAGCAGATCAAGAATAAATCTATAAAATTATGAGCAGATACTTGCAGTAAAATACAAGCGGAATTAAAAAATGTATTGAGAGAAGTTCTAAGATTCAGTTACACAAATAAAAATTCTTTAACAAGAATTAATAGATAAAATGTAACAGCTTTTTACATTGTTTCAACTTTTTAAACAGAATATTCATAACTCGTACATCCATGGAAAAATTACCAGGCCAAAATTGAAGCAAGGATCCATTTACTTCACATTTCCCGAATGACAACACTAATACTAGGAAATATTTTATAAAATAGTGAAGAATTAAACTCTCTCAAATATGTTATTATATAACATGAATTTTAGTGAAAGTAATTTTTATATTCAAAAGTATATAACATGGCTGACAGCACAACTTGAATTGTGCTAAATTATATGACCATGTTCTAACAAAAAGCAAAGCAAATTGACATGATTGTTAAAATAAGGGGGAAAAAATGGAAAACTTAATATGGTCTTACCTACCAGTGGATCTGTGTCATGCAGTAAATGCAAATCATAACCCCATAAAAGGCTCACTAACCTTCTTCGATCCCTGGCATCACCAGTAGATGACTCTGTTCCAGTCAGTGAGTTAGAATTAGTAGTTGTAACACCATTGGAACTTCCAGGTACAGTGAGATTTGTTATGACACTTAATGGAATGCTAGAGGAGACAGCCTCTGTGCTCTTCTCGGTGGCAGAGTCAGTTTGTTGTCGGTAAGGGGCTCTGAAACATACAAAATGAGCTCGTAAATAATTGTAAAATACCTCAGAAGGAAGAAAAACAAAGTGAATTTTACTGTTAATAGAACAATTATCTGGGACATTTTTTACAGTAATAGTGCTTTCTTCTTAGTGCATTATGACAATTAATATGATTAAAAGTGTTAGAATAGGAATGAAGAAAGATAATTCCCCAAATATTGCCCACCATCAGGTTCAGCTAGCAAAGCAATTGAGCACAAACAACAGAAGAAAAAGTTAACAACTAGAGAACTGTAATTAAAGAATCCAAGAAGAAATATCTAAATCAGTCAGAATAATAAAGTTGAGTAGCTTTATCGGAACATAACTTGAGATTAATACAAATTTTAGTTACATTATCTAATGTGCCATTCCTGATATCTATGCCATGTTCTCAGCATATAAGCTACTGCTGCCGAAATGTTTTCAAGTCTACTTTTAAACTCATCTAAGCTAAAAAATTGGCCATGTCTTATTCAGATTTATCCAAAAAATCCTGGATAACTCCTACAAATCTCCAAATGTTTGAACTGCACATCCTGTCCTCTCAAATATGGCTTGTCCCCAGACTATAATAAGGCTGAAATAGATTTTTTTTTAAAAAAAGAACTATATTTATTATTTCTATTAATGATTTGAATTGTTATTCTTTATAGCTACACTAGTATATATTTATGTCAGACTGTTTGTTTTTAAAATTAATATGATCTCACAGCTTTTATTGATCTGCATAATCTTTTTTCAAATAACCCTTTCTCTGTAAATAATAATGTCTGCATATTTGTTTTCCAGGTTTTTTAATTACTTCAAAGCAAATGACAAAAGTGTATCATATTAATTTGCATATCACACAAGAAACAAATTTTTCCACAATGATACCCACAACCTCCACTGCAGTTTTAGATTAAAATAATACTTTCTTATATTTCACAAGATATATTTTCTATATGGATAAAGTTTTTCATGTAGAAAAAAATAAAATGTTGATAAATCATTGGTCTAATTATGCAATCAAAAGAGGCAAGTAGACTTGCTATATCATTTATCTTTTGATTTTCCTTTTTTCTGGTTTTATGGCAGTTAGAATTTTTCCTAAACTATTTAAAAATAATACAACCTTATACGCTTTTCCACCAAAAGTTTTAAATAAACCTTACCTTTTCATATAGGTAGACACATAGGTGGAAGGTGCACCAGTTGTAGGGGTTTCATTCTCCTTTGGATCCTCTCTCCATTGTTGACGAGAGTAAGGACCACTCCGCACCAAGTTAACAGCAGATTCTCTAAAATGGCAAATTGGGAAAGAGAGGCTGTAGTTACAATTTTGTGTTTTATATTCTTCAATTCTGACAATCTATGATAAGACACAAAGACTATGTTAGGATAACATTATGTTATGCGTGGTTTAGCCCCAAACATAACCAAAGTCCTCCTCCCTTAACCTATACAAGCTAAAAATCACCATCCTGTGGTTCACTTTTAAATTGCTAAATCAACTGAACGTGCTTTGATGAATTGTTCTGTTCAGCAGTGCTACTAAGCTGCATTCAGTTGTCACACTAAATTAAAAATAAATAAGGGATAACAGCAATCTGTTAAGATCAAAACAAGTAGAATTTGCTGGGACTGAGTATGTCAGCAAAATGCACCAACAGAATTGAGAAATACGCAGGTAGTCTTTAACAGCAGTATTTGAATTGTAATCACATTCTGATCTATTTACCCAAATCCAAGCAAAATGCATGCTTGCCAAGATCAAGCTAGTACTGGAGAAAAAAAATACTGGAAAATAAAAACCAGCTGTTTAGGACAAAGCATTTTATATAAATATATTCTATGTTCCTGAATTGTCACTAAATGCTTCAAATATAGATAATATACCCTGAAAAGATTAAGGATTAAAGTATGAATAAGAATCAAATTTGAAGGACAGTTCTAATAGATAATTTTTTAAAATATTATATAGTTTGAGTAAAGTGAAAAATATATATGAACATGTCCTGTTCTCCATGATTATGTTTCTATTTTATACTAACTGAAATATGTCATTCTAAAATGGATATGCCATGTGAACATACTGTACATGAAATAAAAAACAGATATATTCAATTCTCTCATCATTTTTTAAGGTGGTGATATAAAAGAACTATAGCCTTGGTGCAGGTCCTGAAGAGATGCCAGGGGCACAGTCTTTCTCTGTTATCGGTGAATGGTTTGAACCTGTTGGGTCTGAGGAAATGGACAGGATTCTTATGACTGTGAGCTTGGCCATTTGTTAATTCATTCCATGCCCCCCCCCATCTAGGACAGGGGTCTCCAACCTTGACAACTTTAAGACTTGTGGACTTCAGCTCCCAGAATTCCTCAGCCAGCATAAGAACAGTATTTTAGTTATATAACTTATATAACTTTAGTTATAGCGTAATGATAAAATGAAACGGCTGATCTCCAAATGCTAAGCAGTCTTGGATCTGGTTGGTATTTGGATGAAAAAATTCTATGAAATAACAGGCCTACTGGCTAGACCAGGAAACTGGAAAAAAAAACACTGCCAAGAAATTATATGAACTTGTTCATGGATTTGTATTTTATTGCAAAATGTAACCAATGTGTAGGAGAAATAAGGAAAGAGAGGGGGAAGGGAGAAAAACTGTCCCACAGATTCAGTTCATAAATATTTACTTCTATCAATCAGGGGCCATTATTGAAAGGCTCTTACCGGTTTTCCTTTTCTTCAATGTCACCTGTATTATTTAATCTTCGAGGGGATATTGAAGCAAAATAGATTCTATTATCCTTGTCCTGCTGAAATAAGAACAAATTCTTAAATTACAGCAATTTTTGGACAAAAAATAATTATCTCAAACAGTGGCTGAAAAATTATACAATTTTGAAATAAACTGTTTGAAATTAATTGCTTACCAAATTTTAATTAATAATTGTGTATAAATCTATTACAGTATTGTCTCAATTAGAAAAATGTTTTACTTTTTTACAGTTGTACAAAAATTTAGTACAATTTTTCTGTCTCATACATTTCAGGACATGAAGCTAGTTTAAAACCCATAATTTGCTTATTTATTATATATTGATGAAACCGGAAGCTTCAGGAAGACATTAAATAAGATAGGGAGAGACCAGGACCCTGGACCACCCAGCACTGGAATGTCTAAGGGCTTCTTCCCCAATAATATTCGGAAGGATACAGAGAGGTTCTTTATCTCCCTCCAAGTGATCAATAGCCAGATCTTAATAGATGGCATAACTTATCCAGAATCCATTTACTTGGAGACCAAGTATCAACTACAAGAATTATCTTGGACATTTGGATCCAGGAATGCTTTTTTCAAACAGAGCACATCATTGCCTTTTCCAAGACCAATAGCATTAGAGCTCAATCAATCCACTGAGAAAATACAATTAGAAGTAAACTCTGGATAGCATTGACCATGGTCAAGATCAGCATCAATATAACTTGTGTTCATAATTTAAAGTGAAGAAAAAGTGTTAAGTTTTTGAAAAATAGAAGATAGATAACAATCTACCGTAGGCTCCATTCCTCAAATGGAGTTAAGTCAATGTCTGTATAACAGGAAAAGCAAATCCTAATTCAAGTTAACAAGTATAACACTACACCAAAAACAAAACAAAACAGCAATTAGATTATTTAGCATTATTTTAGTTTTCAAAACATGGATTTCAAAGTCAGGGAAGCCAAATTATTCTGTACCTTCTCTTGGTTATCTAATAGTGCAGATATCCGAGGGGTTGAAGAAGAGTAATAGATGGAGCTGCCTTTCTCTTTGAGAGTATCACAGGGCATGCTGCCCTCACTAAGTGCATTTTGGCTGCTAGTTTTCCGCAAGCTTAGCCTCCATGATGATGGTGATTCATCTTTTTGTTCTTCAGTCTTGTTGAGCAATGGATTACACTGTAAAATGTGGTAGAGAGAGTGGCTTGACATAACTGGAACACTCTCAATTACCTAATTCCAACACTGTGACAGTGTCAACAAGCGAACAATGACTTAGAGAGGTTGCAATTCCTTTCACTGTATGTCTTTAAGCAGACTTTAGCCAGCCATGTTTCATTTGAATTCCAGCACTAAACAGCAGCTTAGATTCAATAGCTTAAATGGTCCCTTTCAGCTCTAAGAGTTTGTCCCCTCTTGAGCAACTAAAATGATCCCTTTCTACCTCACAGATACTTTAAATTTTACTCAGAGGGGATCTCCGGGGTACATGTTGGTTTGAGAAGGACATATACAGTGGTGGGATTCAGCTGGTTCGCACCAGTTCAGCAGAACCGATAACTAAATTTTGCTGAGTTTGGAGAACCGGCTGAATGAACACTGTTTCCAGAAGTCCGTTCTAGGCCTCGGAGGCCTGGAGGAGGCCTTCCAGGCCTAGAACGGCCCACCGGAAGTGCATGAATGCCACTTTCGGAAGTTTGTTCTAGGCCTCGGAGGCCCAGGCCTGCATCCAATAAGAGAACCGGTTGTTCAGGTATTTGAATCCAACCACTGGACATATATGTTCTCTAGGATAGCACATTCTACTGAATGACAAAACAATTGCATATTAAATGCCAAGACAATTGTATCAAAATATCATTTTTTTCTAATTAAATTTATAGAAAATGTCATACCTACATTTATAAATATGTGTGTTTCCCCCCTACATGTATACCCACATCAACTCTAAAATGTCAATTTGCCTATGGTAGTCCTTTTTAAAATCATGCATTAATTGATCTCGTTTAAACATATTACTATTATTTTTTTTGTTTTAGAAGTGAGAATCTGACTCATTCAAAACAAGTTATAATATACATAGCAGAGGTATTATTAAAATAGTTAGGTTCCAATAAACAGTTTAATTTAAGCTGAAAGTTCAACCCCTACTAAGCATTTCAACGTCACCTAAATAAATCAGAGGTATTAAATTAATTTATACTGTAATCCAATTAGTATTTAAATAGCCACATGCCAATTGGAGTGCTTAAATTAATTTGTCTAATAGGTTTTAGATGTCATATGGTAAGCCATATTTTAAATCTGAGCTGGCCCTAAATCAGGCATGTCAAACTTGCGACGTCATATGACGTCGCGCAACGTATCGGGCTGGTTTTGCCATTGCCGGCAATGGGGTGGCCGCAGCTTCCATGTGACGCATCCGGCCCACGGGCTGGCAGTTTGACACCCCTGTCCTAAATCCTATGTGATATGTTATTATTAGTAGTAGTAGTGTTGTGATTATTTTAAATGTATTGACTGTCCAACTCCAATCGATACTATGGTAGCAGATTGCTAAATTTCCATGCCTAAGTCAATCTCTAAATAGAAGTTCGCATGTGAAACAGAAATAAGAGTATTTCTGGTTTCTCCAAGACTAGAATCTAGAGTACAAATCACAAGAAGATGTATACTCTGATCATAATCAGTAAGAAAGTTAATTAAAATATTTGGAAAGAAATATCATCATTCAAACTTACAATAAAAACAATTAGTGCATAGTAGACACTGGAGGCAGGTGATGGGGACATAAAGAAATATCCTAATTCTGACATACTAAAGTCAGCAGACTGGTATAATGCTTTTGAAGGATTCAACTTTCATTTTGCTCTTCTGTTTCTATGAGCAACTCCACATGCAGCATTTAAATACTCCCATAGTATGTTTGCAAGGTTACATGCTGTTATTAATATTGGCCAGCAGAAGTGATTAACTACAGCTTTGTTGCAGTGCAGAGGAAACTACTGCAAAAAAAGATGCAACATTATCAGCACTGTGGTTTTGCAGTAGGCCATTTCCATTAGCACATATTCCCACTTCAGTCAGCCTATTAGTCCTTGACTCTCCCCTCTTATTCTAATTGTTAACTCAAGGCTATGCTTGAAATTATAAGCCACTGGTAAAACCACTGTAGCATCTTGAGAGTATCCGAAATTGTTTTGTTAGAATGTGAGTAAATAGTTAACTGGCCAGTTCCTTAAACAGAAGGCAGGAACTAAGAAAACTTTGAAAGAAAAAAGAAAAGAAAAATATATAGTTGACAATTGGACAGAGAAAAAAAGAGTAAGAAAATAACTAGTGTATCTTAAACAAAAGGGGAGGAAAAAAATCTGCTAAGATCTTCAGACAAGCTACACATGCCTTCTGTAATAATGTAATAATGGAACATTTATCCTTAAAAATAATTTTGTATGATATGCTCACAGAATGTTATTTGTTCATGACCAGTATTCATGATCAATGGGTAAATAAATACAAGTTGAAAGTAATACTTGCTGCCAAATGTCTAACACACTTTGCTACCACATAAAGAATAAGAGATGGCAATTTATATAAATAAAAATATAAATGTTCGTTTGTTCAAAATCTTAAATCTCTGAAAGTTCTTCACCGATTGCTTTGAAATTTTGACACAACGTTGCATTCGAATACGCACGTGTTTTTATTTACGGTACCTACTATTATATAGATGTCACACCTGTGACAGGTAAAAACATGCTTTTTTTGAAAAACAGCACCATCTGTTGGATGTAAAAGCAACACACGCTAGCATTGTGAAATTAAACATATTACAAACGTGCGCTTTCTCTTTTCTTTCTTTTTCATTTAACCAGACTGAGCCACAGCAATGCGTGGCCGGGTACAGCTAGTATCAATATAAAATCAAACTTCAATTTCTGAATGTTTTTCTTTTGATTTTCAATGATATTTTAAGGAATACTTATCTAACTTGAAATATATTTAGAACAAATCATGTGACTTCTGTATAAATAAATCCTGATTTTGTTCCATTCAGCAATGTTGCAAAACATGTTCTCATCCCAAATTCACAGAGCAGCAGCTCTGCAGCTTCCACCACAGTGAGCAGCTTTTTAAAAAAGAAAGGGAAAAAACCCCTGATCCCTGTTACACAAATGAAGCATACGGTAATGGCAAAACCTGAAGGCAGGGGACTGATGGGCTGTTGATTTTTCCATTCTCCTATTGATCAGAGAGAGCATTGGCCAGCAGATGCAAAATTCTCAGTAACTGCAGAGAATACAGTCATAGGATGTTTTGAAAACGATCCCTGTAGCCTTTTCATTTTGCACTCTAACCAAAATTATCTCCTTGTTTAGTTACAATTGGCTATTTATTAATTACTAATTAATATAGAGAAATGAGATGTTTTAATTACTTGGTTTTTCATAGCACTCAACCTTTTCATTTTTTTAGATGGATTCCTACTCATTTGTAGCTTCCACAGCCCTCTTCTGTATGTTTGACTCACAGAGGTGTCATCTCCTGTTTATGGCAGTTGAACATATTTTGGAAATATCTAAAGAGCAATTGATAGTTGCTCCTACAGGTTGCCCCTACTGCAAAGTTATGCAATTTTTTCACTGTATTCCAGGTATTATCACTGTACAGATTCCAAAGAGCAATAACATTAAACACTGCCCCTCTTTCTTCACCCTAATAGTTAATAATTTCCCAAGAAGGAGGAACATTTTTAACTAAACCTTACATTCAAACAAATGGTTCAATACCTTACATTCAAACTAATTTAACCTATTTAATGAAATGTACTTATATAGCACTACACAGCTCACTTTTATCATCAAGAAATTGACACTAATTTCTTCCAATCTATGCTTTCTGTTTTACTGAAAAAGAAAATGCTTAAATATTAACATGTTCAATTCCACAATTCAGCTGTTCTAACATAGCTCCCTCAGAATGTTCTTTGCAGTGCATAATCAGTGCCAACTTTAAAATAGTTACAATTCAAAGGAATATCAACATTCTCCTATATGAACACTTGCAGAAACTATGTCTTGATTATAGTGCTTTCAGTTGTACATGATACAAAAACAACTGCCAACAACCTAACAGCTGCCCAATAATCTCTATTAGAATTTCAGCATGCAGAACACACAGTAAAATTTTCATGCATACTGGTACACATTACAGATACAATCTTACTTTTTATAACACTGACCATCTAAGCTCCTGATAGTTTATAACAAAACAACATCATAATGAAAAGGTAAATATTAAAAACATTTCACAAATTGTTTAAATAATGGCAGAGAATGTCAATTCTACCAATCTGGCTGGGCATCTATTACAGTCAATAGAAACTCAACAATGATGAAAATAACTTAGATATCAAGTACATTTATTACTGACTAGAAACTCTTTATGGACTTTTTGCTGAAAATGGAAAAAATGAATTGGAGAGTTATGGATCTCATGATTAGAAAGAATAAAATGTGATGTAATTTTAAAGAGGGAGGATAGATGATAAATGTATTTATAATTGTTGTAAAACAAGATTGGGAGCTGCTTCTTTACATTTTTTTCTTTTTCTTTTCTTTTTCCCCCCTTTTCATTATTTATCATTGTTTACCCTTTTCTCTTTTTCTTAAATTTATATTGTTTTTAATATTGCATAAAATTCTTCAATAGGAATGATGAAGATACCTACATTTATACTGAGAAAAAAACATGATTTTTTCTCAGAGTCAACAGATGAACAAATACTGAATTTAACACCATTGAGGACATGAACCCATTTAAGACCAGGGTTTTTGCAAAAAACTGCAGTCTGGTATTTCTGTATAACATTAATTGTATACAAAATAAGCATAATATTTACTACACTTTTTCTGGCATTGTGTTGCTGATTAAACTGTAGAAGGACGGGAAACAACGGTTTTGGTTCAAAACCAAACAAATACCAACAAATATGTCAATCAACTCAAAGTCAGTTCTTGAAGGTTATTTACCACAGTACTATGCTTTTTCAAAATAGAACATAGCTTCATTTTTTGAATGATTACACAAAGTAAGTTCCATTTAATAACAGCATTTAAGAAGTCATTCTTTACAGGATTGAAACTTTAAATTTAATCTCTAACCCCTTACCTTAATTCACTGTCTACTTACTTTTCTAGCAGGAGCCATAGTAACAGTGTTATGTTCTGGGGGTGGTATTTGTTCTGTGATGAGAATTCTGGATTCATGATTGGAATGGTTTTCAATAGACTCTTCTTTGTTCTCTAAAAAGATGGGTGACAGAGGATGAAAGATTTGCAGACGTTCTACAATAATTCTAGATTTAACTGAGTGATGTGTTCTGGGCATTCTAGTCCCATTCTTTTGAAATGTTGCAGTTAAACATATACGCCCATTTGAGTTATTGTAAGTTAATCAGTATATATTTAAAAAGCCATTGTCCTACTGTACAGTCTGAACAAAATGTTGCCACTGTGGAACAGTAATTTTCTACAATACCTACTGATTTTCCATACATTATTTTAGAAAAGGATAGAAAAGTCAAGAAACTAATAAATTCATTCATTCAATCTGAAGATTTTGATCCCAAATTTAAATACATGCGAAACTACTTTAATCTAGACCATGAGTGATTCATCAATAATTGCTGTGCCTAAATTTATGATAAAAAATATCATTTGAAACTGGCTCTGAAACTTGTAAATGAATGAAATGACAATTTTTTATGTGCTGTGTACTTTGTCCCAGTCTATTTTACATTGAACTCTATCTTTAAAAGAGATCTTCATCAGGCCTTTAGAAAGAGCTAAACATCAAGTACTAAGGAAGTATTAAGTTCAAGTTTTTGTACATTTTATAAGATGGCAATAAATGGTAAGAACATTGTCAGGCACAAATTTCTGGGAATGCAGAAGGCTTCAGATCATCCTGTGATAAGAGGTGAAGATAAAAATGCCTAAATCTGAATACCAGAGTCGGGTATACATGCATCCTACCCCCAAAAAACCCCTACAAACTGCAAGTCATGTCTTTATACTAAAAGTACTATTTCAGAAGATGCACATGAAATGTAATGGCCAGTATGAAGTTGCAAGAAGTTTTTGTATGCATTCATTTATAATGCTCTATATCTGAAAGTTGGTGTCAACAATAAACATTGGCCAGCCAGATACTACTTGATGCAAAGTTGAAAAGGGACCTCAAAAAATAAATGAAACTTACATTTCTTTTATTAAAATAATAACTCCTTGAACACTTTATCTACTTGTGTAGAGGCAAATAATTTTCCAAGATGACAAAGAGCACCAACATTTCCTAAGCTTAGGCATGTTCAAATCAGGAGTTCAGAGATGGAACTGATAAATTATGTATATCCATACCATAGGTTTTTGCCATTAATTCTGTATTTGCTTTGATGAGTAATTACTTGTTTTGATACAACTGGTAGTACAAAATCCTAATATAATGCTGCACCGAAGCAATATATCTTGTGCAGTCTTCCAATTTTTAATCTAGAAAAATATGTAGATAGAAGTCTCCTAAATTTATGCAGTACCATGTACATTCAAAAGCCACTAATGTATCTAAGAAAAGTGAAGGAAGCTGAGTAATTTTTCAGAAAAAAACACTGCTGTAAACAGTCATTTACTATATGAAGAAATATGTTTAATTGTGACTGTTCAATAGATTTGAGCATTACTTGCTATTTACCTACCAAAGAAGAAGGGGCTAGGGATGTAGTGAATCATTGTCATCAATGCTCTTCTGGTTAATGAATTATGAAATGTCAGGTACTTCCTGAAGAAAGTGGATGGGACTTTGTAAGGATGTGTAAAATCATTCTAAATATGAACCTCCATGAAATTGCTGTTTCAGGCACTTAAATTTAAGAAAACTCAGACCACTTCCAAAGTGCAGAAAGCAGCTTCTTTCATACTTGGAACAGCTTTTTCTGCATTCAAACTGCAAAATCTTGTGAAGTTTCACAATCATTTGAATTCCATAGATGCTGATTCTTGACCCTGTTAATGTGAAATGATAGAAAATATTTGTAGCTTGGGTGGTAGATGCTAGTGGTGGTTTGTTCTCTGAGCCTGCTGTTTAGCTTCCAAACATTTTGTCACCAAGAAGGTGTCATGCTCAGCAGGGCTTTGGTTGAAGCATCTTGTTTCAGTTCTTCACTGCTTTTATTGACCTCATATGGTCAAGTAGTTGGTGGGTCATGTGACTGGTTGGTCATGCTGCATGCCATGCCATGTGACTGGCTGGTCATTATGTGTGAAGGTCACCAAGTGAAAAGATGGTCGATGCTGGGATTGGTTGGTCACTCAATTGACACTGCTTCTTATGGGTTCGTAGGCTGGCTCCAAGTTGACATGTTTGTTGATAGATCAATTGGTTAAATACCAGGCTTTGATGAATTCTCATGCATGGCATGTGGTGGATGGAACAAAAATCATTGGCCATGCCACCATATGCCACACAAGTGAATTCATCAAAGCCTGGTATTCAACCAACAGATCTATCAACAAACATGTCAAATATGAACCCATAAAGAGCCGTATCAATCGAGCGACCAATCAGCCGGGCACACGGCCCTCCAACCACATGACATGAGATCAATAAAAGCAGAGAAGAACTGAAACAAGACATTGCAACTGAAGCTCCACTGAGGATGATATCTAGCCTGGTAATGAAATGTTCGAAAGCTAAACAGCAAGCTTGGAAAAGAAACCACCACCAGCACCTATTAATGTGATTGTATTGAGGCAGAATTGCTAGTAAACAGTAGACTAGATTACTAACCAAGTGGACTAAATGTAACTAGGTTACTGTCATAAGAAAAAACTCTCAAAGGGAGCAAACAGGTTTAAATTTACTTAATGGTAAAGGAATGCTAATTTGGTTGGCACAGAAAAGTAGAGCTAGAAACCTGGAAGATGGGATGAATTCTAAAAACAGGAATTTCACATTGCAAAATATTGTCACTAATCTTAACTAGCAACACTCTGTATTTGAACTGACTGTCTAAAGCTGTAGGCTTACGTAAAAGTTCTGAAAATGATTTCAACAGTGCAGTTTCATAGAATTTTCTTGCTCATAAAAGAAGGAAAAAAAATCTGTTTTAAATATATTACTTTGCTTATTTATTTAAATAAATAAATATATTACCTGCCTCCTTTTCAGTATCTGACTCTGAAACTTCATCTTCTTCTGCTTCTTCCTCTTCCTCTTCCTCAGAGCTGGAACTACTAGATTCCTTGCTCTCTTCTTCTGTCTCTAACGATTTCAAAGTATCCGCTTCATAAATAATCTCTTTGCTGAGGTAAAAACCAAGAAAAGTATTTAGGGAAACAAAAAAAAATCAAAGTAACTAAACGGGTTAAGAAACTGAAAATGTAAGACTGCCACACATGAAATCATTTCTGCAGAAAAGTAGAGTGATTAACTAATTCCCTTTATTAAAATTCATGCTCCCATTTCAGTATCACAAATTTATAGCTTTAATGAATATAATGGGACAGGAAGAGAAAGCTACTTGAAGGGAAAATATATATTTTTAAAAAGAAATTGGCCAGTTTCTTTAGAATCGCATCAGCATAGTACTGAAATTCAATAGCACAGATTATGAGTAGTTTTAGCCCTGGAGCAGAGTACTTTTTGATAAAACAGCATTAAAAATTAAGCACAGCTTTAAACAAAAAAATTCTGTTTAAGCACTTGAACTTTAGAAACTCAAATTAAATTATACTAATTTATAAAATTTATATTCTACTACTTTTCAAGGAAGTCAAGACATCACATATGGGTATTCCCTCTTACTTTATTCCTCTTAAGAACTACTTGGTATAGTAGACTGAGCTAAGAAATAATGACTGACCCAACCCACTTAGTAAGATCCACATCTGGATGGGGAACGGACTCAAGTTTCTTGGATTCTAGTCTTATGTTTCAACTTCTAGTGCTCGCTTCCTCCACTCCATTAATTTAACATCAAATTTCACAATAAACACAAAAACATTTTGGACAAATAATCTTACTTTTTGAAAAATCCACTTTGAACTTTACCATTCATATCAGCTTCAATTAATTTGTTTGATTCTTCACTACGGAGCTGTCAAAAATGTAATTGGAAAAATATGTTAACAAGCTATTTCTGTTCTGTCTAGCATGTCAGCATAGGCAAATGGCAGAATTGCAACTCTTTTAAGCACTTCATTTTGTTTAAGGTAAGGAGAATTTATTATGATAAATATATAAAACTGAGATACATATATGAAACAACCATACTGAGTCACTGTGATTCAAAAAGTGTTGTTTTTGTAGTTCCGTAAAGATCAGGTTGGGGTAATGGAGTATTATTAGACGAAAACTTTATACTTTGGTTTCGTAGTTATAAGAGGTTTCGTGGACTTCCATCTTATACGAAGTTTCGTGGTTCTATCCTGTTCTTCGTTACCTACCTTTGATTAGTTCCTCTCTTGGTTGAATCTTGATTTTAATCAGTGGAACCTCCAGAAGTTGTGGGTGCTCCAACACTGGAGGATTTTAAGAAGAGATTGGACAAGTATTGGTCTGAAATGGTATAGAGTTTCCTGCTTGAAGAAGCAGGGGTTGGATTAGAAGACCTCAAAAGTTTCTAACTCTGTTATTCTTTTATTCTGTTAAATTGGAATAAGTCAAAAGTTTAAACTCACTGAAGCTGTTAGGTTCTAAAATATGCTAACATATATTTACACACATACATAATTAAATTCAGGAGACCAATCAGTAAGCAAAATTAAATGTTTCTTGAATGGTGGGGTTGGCTTCCTGGTCTAGCTAAAGGAAAGAGCTGAGGAAAGAAAAAAGAAGCTGACTGGCCAAATGAGGAACCTACATAAGTCATAGACTATCAGTACCACCTCTATGATTTCTCCTGATTTCTTTTCAACCTACAAACCTTACACTTTAAGCCTCAAGGCAGAATTAACTTTCAATATTTTGCATCTGAACATAAGTACATAAACATAAGTATAGCATAAACTGGAACTGGACCAGTCTCTAAAGTAACAACACCTGGAGGACTTTCAATTACTGTACTAGGAAATATGCTACCCCTTTTTGTAGCAAGATCATTTTCATGTTTTATGCATTATTATTCTGAAGAAAAACTGAAACAAAAATGTTTGTATTCTTCTGAAACAGAAGTTATTTATATTAGATAAACTTCTATATTGGCCTACGCACACACACACACACATACAAAGGAAGGGGTTGCAGCATTTTTAGAAAAAAAGAATCTCTATTCCTTTTCAGAAATGAATTTTTCATTATTAAATTATACTAATATTATAGTTCCAAGTTATTTCCTTCAGTGAGAAAGTTTCAGAATTAATTTACCCTTTTAGTATATTTTGTTTTTTGTTTTTTTAAAAAATAATTTATGAAATGGGGAGATAACCCACATTCCCTAAGAAAAATAGACAATCTAATGGAAAAATGAATACAGATACCATCAGGGCTTTTTTTCAGCCGGAACGCGGCGGAACGGCGTTCCGGCACCTTTTTCCGGGCCGGCCGCACCGGAAATAGCCCCTCCCACACCGGAAATAGCCCCTCCCAAATTTTACTTGCATTCCTGTTCTCTAAAGGGGCGGTCCTAGGGTTTGATGAGGGCGTGGCCAGGTTTGAGTTCCGCCACCTTTTCTCCGAGNGCCGGAACGCGGCGGAACGGCGTTCCGGCACCTTTTTCCGGGCCGGCCGCACCGGAAATAGCCCCTCCCACACCGGAAATAGCCCCTCCCAAATTTTACTTGCATTCCTGTTCTCTAAAGGGGCGGTCCTAGGGTTTGATGAGGGCGTGGCCAGGTTTGAGTTCCGCCACCTTTTCTCCGAGAAAAAAAGCCCTGGATACCATTAATTTTTTAAAAAATCTCTCAGAAAACTAGACAACGTGGAATGGACTGTTTATCCAGTTAACAACTTTAAGTTATGTGGACTTGAATTCCCAGAATTCACAACATATTGGCTGGGAAGTTTGGGAGTTGATATCCACATATCTTAAATTGCTAAAGTTGAGAAACACTGATATAGGGAATTTTAATTGTTTTTGAAATAGCTTTCATTCTTCAGTTACTTCTTCCTCTCCCCTCATTTCCATCTAGTACTGTCCTCCACATTCTGTTTCATAGCTTTTCCTATAAAGCTATACTTTTCTCTTGCCCCATTGCCATCGTGTTTCTCCCCTCTTTTTTTTTTTTTTTTTGCTGAGAGGAGAAATGCAAATAGTGTATTTCTCTGTATGAAAATGGTTTCTGTGAGAGACTGTGAATGGCTCTGAGTGAACAGGTAACAGAAACAATTTTATAATTTTAGGTAACAGACATCAGTTTTAATCAATAGATATTAATTTGTAATGCATATTTGTCCTGACCTTGCCATTTGCAGAAGTATGGCATTTGGCAAATGTATATGTATAAATCTGGTATGTGTGTTATGTATGTATATCACCCACATATATTATACACATTCATATATTTACATGTAAATGGCAACATTTTCAGAACTGGTATAAACTAGTTGCAATGTAAGGAAAATGAACACTACACACATATGTTTCTCTCTCTGTCTCTCAGGCCATTTTTAATTCACATTCATCTTCTTTTAGAGCAACCATGAAAAGATATTCAAATGCTGTGATGGGTCTATTCCCCATGACTCCCCATGGAAATGAAAAGTGGACTTCAAAGAGGTGGGATAGGAAAAATACTGAGGCTTTTAAGTTTGGTGTCAGAGAAGACTCCTGAGAATACTATAGCCAGCCAAGAAAACAAACAAATGGATCATTGAACAAATCAAGTCAGAATTATCACTTGAGAACAAATGGCCAGGCTCAGATTATCCTACCTGTAACATATTAGGTGGAAAGCTAGTTCCCTAGACAGAAGGCTCTAATGCTAGGAAAGGTGGGAGGAATGAAAAGAGGATGACTAACAGCAAAGTGGATGGACTCAGTAACGATGGTGATGAGTACACTATTGAAAGATCTGAAGGTTAGGGACAGATTGCACTGGAAAATATCTATCTTTTTGGTCACTAATGAGTTGGTGGCACATAATCAGTCAAAAAAAGTAATTTTATCTATGTTATTTTTACTGTTTATAAACCACTTCAGTCAACACTTATGCTTCATATGTAACTATCACAAAACACACATTTCGTTGCATTCCACTATCTAAGAAATCATAAGAATAACATGCACAAAAATTCTTTGATTAAGAGGGGTACCCAGAACCTACCATATTCTGTTTCTTCTGCAACATCTCTAAGTGTTCAACCAATCCCTCATCAGCAACATCGAATGGTGTTTGACCCTAAAGGCATGTATAACAATAGCAAATATTTATTCTGGACTTGGCATTTCTTTAACATGAGAAAAAGATTCTTTGTGTCTTTGTGAAAAACAAATTTAAAAATATGCAAAACTACTTGGCAAGAATTGGAAAAAATTTCAAGGTAACTCTTTTTCTTAGAAATGCTTTCCATGTATTTTAACTTGTACTCATTGCCAAATTAGCTTATACCTGTATTTTAGTATGTATTTTTTCATTATATAGCCAGATATAAATATGGAACAGGAAATATATGGCTATTAGACATATTGGGATGTCAAAATATCAGATACTGTTACCCCAAATAAAAACATGCTATAGCAATAGTATCAAAATTATATTTTGTATCAGATGAATTAGAGCAGGTACAATATTCCTAATCCAATTTCCAATCATTCCTCTTTCTGTGACAATTTCTCCATGTTAGTCCATGGTTAAAGATTATGCCAGTGCTAATCTTAATATTAAATGGATAACCCATGACCCATTGCGTCATCATTTCAGAGATATTTCCTTACCTAAACAAAAAAACAGAATGAACGCAAGTGGGCAAAAAAGCATTGGGAGAGACAGTGACTTCCTGCCAGCTTTCCTTGTAGGAAGCTGGCAGGGTGCATTGGAAATCCTGACCACGTGACTTCAGCTGACCAAGGCAGCATAGCAGTATAGTAGCACTGACTAACTTTGCCAAATTTCAATCTCATTGAAGACATGGGTCCCAGATTTTGGATGCATTCTGTAAATCAGCCCACTTGAGATATGCCTGTCCTCATGTAATGTACCATTTTGCCCAATTGCGGGTTACAAACCATTAAATACATAAGAGTTTTAGCAGTATACTGGACAATCCATTACAGATTAGGTCATCCTTTTGGAGATATTTCCTTACCTAAACAGAGAAACAGAATGGCCATGGAGGATTGCTATTGTTTGGGTTTCAAAATTAAAGAAGAAAATATCTTTTTATTAAAAAAACAAAGAATAGCAAGATAATTGATTTATCACTGCTACTTTAATTGAGGAGTTCGTAAGACAGAGGATACCAATTATCTATCCTGACCTTTCCCTATATACAGCTGAAACTGGCAGTTTCTCCAGGGAATGATAGTGACAGACTTTGGCCACGCCGCCAATATCAACCAAAATATTACATTGTGCAAGTCATGCATTTTGCCTCGCTCTTTCTCTGTTGAGGTGCTTGTTGTTGAAGGCAGGTATTGTCATGTTGATAAACTTTTGCAGTAATTAGTGTTTCTCACATACTAAGTTGATCTTCCCTTTCCTCCTCCATCTTTTCTTACTTCCTTATTCTGCACTTTTATGATTCTGGAGATGTGCAGCCTTTTCATCCTCAGTTTCTTGACCTCTCTCTTCCTTGCTGCATCTTGATATTTGGAGTCATCTCTTGACTATGACATCACCACCACTTATTTTAATTTTTTTTAACCAGTGATACACCGCATGTTTGCGTGCCAGAGAAGGGGCACATAAAGCAATAAAAATATCCAGCCCTTTCTTCATGCACCTTAAACTTGTTTTTTTTTTCTTTAAGAGTCAACCAATGAGTCAATTCATTGCTGCTGGGTGAGGGAGGGATTGTGAGATTGGCTGGAAAACAGTCATGGAATGTTGAAAATGTAAATCACACAAATTACCCCATTTGAGGTATCTTGGTTCAAAAATTGTTGCCCTATGATGCATCATTTTGTCCAGGTAAAGATCATCACAACTAAAGTTTCAG